CATTGTTCAGACTATTTGCTATTGCAACATGGTAGGTAACATCAAATTTGCTAATTTTTTAAATCAAAGATGGCTAATTATTGTGCCTCCGTGTGTTATTAAATGTGCCAATTTAAGCATATTTTTTCCTCTTTTGTAACAGAATATGCTTCTGCTGGGTCATTGTATGACTATATTAATAGCAACAGAAGTGAAGAAATGGATATGGATCATATAATGACCTGGGCAATGGATATAGCTAAAGGTAAGTGAGGTCAATAAGGTCAATAATTCGTAAAAGATTAGAACTCCGTGCTAGTTCCATTTCCTATTCAGTCAAGATCTATTCTTAATCGTTAATCTAAATTACTCAGAGTGCCTAAAGATAGCGCCTTAATTATCTGTCCTATGAAATCTTCAGAAACCTATTTGACTTACTAAATAGTTAGCGCGAGCTTTCCAAAGGTGCTTTCTTTCAAAAGGCAAGTGGATTTTTCTTGTTTTGCTTGAAGAGGTTTCACTTCTCATCCAAGAAGCTTCTTCAATTCAGTTCAGTGAATACGAACTGACCACACCTGAAGCCTTTATTAACGGAAGAACACTGACATCTCCTAAACTCCGCTGAAGATGTTACCTGCCCTGGTAACAGAATGTTTGAAAACCAACCCACAAGCTAGGTACAGGGATAGGCAACCTTGGCTCTTTCATGACTCGTGGACTTCAACTCCCAGAATTCCTGATCCAGCTATGAGAGTTGAAGTCCACGAGTCATAAAAGAGCCAAGGTTGCCTACCCCTGAGGTAGGAGAACGAACCTTCACCCTCACCATCTTACTTGTTTTGGGAACAAGCTACTGCTGGTCCTGACGTAGCAAAATAATTTAAAAAACTTTTTTTTTTCATTTTTACTTTTAGGAATGCATTATTTGCATATGGAGGCTCCAATCAAAGTAATCCATAGAGATCTGAAGTCCCGGAATGGTAATTCAGCATAAATTTTACAATTTTGTTTATTTTTCCTGCAAATATAACATTTTAGGGTTGATACTGAAAAGAGCAGAATTCAATGCACAAGCCACTTTGATATATGGATATGGATATATGGAAATATAAAAGTGCTGCACAGGATTTTAAAGAACATATCCTGCCCACAATATCAAGGACAGGGTACATGATATTACAGTAGCTGCTGTATCAAATTAGTATGCAATGAATATTGCTAATTGAGAGTTGAATCCAATATTTTTCTTTCGGTGTTCTCATTTATTTATTTTTTAAATCTACTCGTTTGAGGTTTTACATGCAGGATGATATTCCAACTGCTTGATTACTTCTGATTAAGTTCAGCTATTCCTCTTGTAACCTTGCGATTAGAGATGGGATTAGAAAGCTTAGATAAAAATGATACCTTTCTTTATTTCCCTTTTCCTATTAGAAAAATAAAAAAAAAATTGAAATATTTTCTAATAGTTTTACTTTTTTAAATGGCACCTAAAATGGTTAACAGCAAAAGAAATTGGACGTGTACAGAATCTAAAAATAACTTAAGTAGTAAAAGAATTTCAATATCTGTTTGGTATGGTGGTGGGCAGAGTCTAGAATACAATTTAGAATGTTCCTTCTCTTTTCAGGGTCATGTTTGACCTGCTGACTCAGGAATTCTGGGAATTGAAGTCCATGAGTTAAAAAAGAGCTGAGGTTGCCTACCCCTGCTCTAGTTAGAAAAAAAAAGAAGAGATGCACTGCACCTTAGCCATTTAGCCCTTTTTAGTTTCATTTTCAGGAAATGTTTAATGTGTTTTAAAGCAAACTTTAATCAAATTCAAATTTTTTGCCTGTAGAAATAATATTTTTGTTAGTATACATCAAATATACTTCTATTGAGAAATTAGGAAATAATATCATATCATATATCATCATATCATATATATCATATATCATATCATATCATCTTTATACTGACTAAATGTGCTAAAAATAACTATTGCATAAATTTCAGTTTTTCCTAAACTATGTATTTTCCTATTTATTTATTACATTTATATGCCTCCATTCTCACCTATAAGGGAACTTCCTTTGGGGTTTTTTTTATTATTCTTTTGGTCTCAAAAGATTGGGAAATTTTAAAATTGTCTGTGATATTTTTTTGCATATTTTAAAGATATATGCGGTTGCATTATAAAGCGTGACAACTTTAGTTTTAAATTATTTCCCAGTAATTGTTAATAATACATTTTTCAGCTCCATGGCTGTAACTCGTTAACTTGACGTTCTCCAGTACAGGAGACGGAGACTCCACCAATGGGTTTTCTTTGTCTGCCTGCTCTTGAGACCAAGTATCCAAAACTTGTCACGCCCCCTCCTACTGGTAATCCAGTCTTAACTTGGTCTCCGCTCTTGATGACTCGTTTTGGCTTGGCTCTCAGCTAGATCAGGTTAGACAATTAATAATCCATTGATGAAGTCTCCCTTAAATATTGGCTATCTCTAAAAAAATTCATTTCTTAACTCAGGGATTAATGCACCTTCCCTCGGGCTGATAGCAGCTTGTGGGAAGTGAGGGGTGAAGGGTGGGAGTGGAATTTCCCTTCCTTCATCTCTCCCAAATCTCAAATAAAGTGGGGGGGGAGGTAGAAGGACAACAGAGACAACTTGTTGACCCTCTCCTCCACCTGCCCAGTTTTCTCCCTCAGGGCACAGCAAAGGCCCTGGCTTCTCTCAGGCCTTCTCAGGCCTGTTGGGGGCCCGTTTAACCGCCCGAAAAGTTGCGGCCGCCATTTTGGCTGCAACTTCGACGGCCGAATCCTTTGACAAAACTTTCAAAAATTTCGTTATTTTCGCTTCAGGCTGCCTTCCGGGACGTGTTCTCTGGGCCCTGTTAGATCCTGACTCCCCCCAGGCCCTTTTCAGGCCGTTCGGAGCCTATTTAGCCGTTCGGAAAGTTGCGGCCGCCATTTTGGATGCAATTTCGGCGGCCGAATCCTTTAACGAAAACAACAAGATCCTTTCTCCTTTTGCCTTCAGGTTCCCTGTGGTGACATTTCCCAGGGCCCTGTTAGACCCTGACTCCCCTCAGGCCTTTTCAGGTCGGTCGGAGCCTTTTCAGCCGATTGAAGTGTTGCGGCCGCCATTTTGGCTACATTCTTTGGCGGCTGATCCCCTTTTAAACAAAAGACTAACTTCTGTCCTCGGCTGCCATCATTAAGGTAGCGATTCTCCTGGGTCCTACATGGCCCACGGGATCGCTAACTGGCCTTTCAAGTGGTCGGAGGCCTGTTTTAGCCTCCTGTGGAGTAGCGGCCGCCATCTTGGCTGCAGTTGTGGCCACAAGCTCTATATCACTGTGATCTGACAGAGGATTAGAGTCCTTGGGGCCCTGTTTCACCCCTCAGTAACATTTCGCCCGCCATTTTGCGGGCAGGCGCCCGGCATTTGGTAGTCTCTGCTCCTCATTTTCAGCCTCTTTTTGGCCAGAGCTGAGGGCGTGGCACGGGCCTGAGGAGTCATTGAGAGGGCGCATAGGGCGTTCAGTTTACCGGTAAATCCGGGCCACATACATCTGGGCGGTGTTCGTCTCCCCTTCACCCCGGTAGCCGCCATCATTTAAATTGTCCGAATCGGACCTGGTAATTTGGAGCTGATTGTTCTGGTGCACTTTGCCTGGTCATCTAAGGCCTCCGGGAGGAGCCCAACAGGTGGTTCCAAACGTGCCTTCGGCTCTGCCTCAACTACCGTGACCATAGTCCAGAGAGAATTTCATTGGTCGGGTGACCAGGGGGGCAGTCCGCGTACTTGCTCCAATACCGCTTCCACCAACAACTTGCCTGCCAGAGCTTTTATCTCAGCTTTTGTTCTGGGATAGCTCAAACGGGATGGAAGGACCCTCGTTGCCCCAGTCCTCAGGCGCGAATCCTCCACCTCCCGGTCACGGCTGCAACCTCCCTTCTGTTCAGAAGGCGGCAGGCAAGTGCAAGGCCAAGACCAAGCACACAATTAAGAAGTCTTCCAAGTTGGCGGAAAAGCAAGCCAGCCGTAGGCACCAGGCCCTGGAGAAGGAGTTCTCCAGGGCACAGAGGCATGCCCAAATAAATTTGGATAGCATGGCGGCCACCGAGCTGGAGCTACCATTGGGTCCATCGACATCTAGTCAGGGAGTATGGTCCATTCCAGGCATGCCGGTGACGTCAACTCTACCCTCCGCCTCAGCTGATCATGCCGCCGCTTCGGGCGTCACCCCTGAGCCCGTCGGTTCTCCAGCGCCCACCTTACCTAGGGGTCCTGACATAGGGGACATATTCTCGGACGGGCGTCTGGAGGCGTTATTGGCTAAGGTGGTGGATAGGGCTCTGACGCAGCGCTCACGCCCACACGACCTAACAGCTACTAACTTGTCCAATCTCTCAGTGACCTCCCCCATGGAGTGCCGGGCGACCCGAGGGCCTGATTCTCCGAACCAGTCCTCGGGAAGTGGTTACTCATCACCTTATGAGGAGGAACTACCCGAGATTGCCTTTTCAGAAGATGAGGAGCTCCCACCTGAGACATCTTCTTTGGGGGGATTATTCAATCGCAACCATTTTCTAACAATCCTTAGAAAAGCCACGGCCACGGCAAACATAGGGACTGACCAGTTTCCACTACCTCAGACTGATCCCACATCCACACCCAGGCCACTTTTTTTCCAGAAGGTGACGACGGAGCACCATGTTCTGCGCTCCTCTATCTTCCTGGAAGGAATTAAGAAGCAATGGGCTTCACCTTCCTCTTTCCCATCGGCAAGCAGTTCAGACAAAAGACTGTACAGAACATCCACGGATCTTTCCGATGCATTGGACATTCCCAAAGTGGATGAGGCTTGGACACCTTTGGTTTCCCAGACGGCTGTGGCGGGGGATCTGTTAGAGGCACTCAAAGCCGATGATAAAAGGTGGGAGCAGACCTTCCGTAAGGCTCATCAATCGGCAGCATGGGCCATCAAAATGGCGACCTCGGCATCCTTTTTTGTACGTACCACCCTTCTGTGGCTTCAACAACTGCAGGCCAGGGTTCCTGTTGAAGACGTGAGAACTCACCAGGACCTGGCCAAGATGGTAGCTGCCACAGAATACACGGCGGATGCGACGTTACAATCGGCAGTGTTTTCGGCCAGAGGCATAGCTTCCAACACGATTGCCAGAAGGATGCTATGGTTGAAACACTGGCAGGCCGATACCAAAGCCAAGTGGCGCTTAGCAACCGCCCCGTACTCGGGTGGCACCCTTTTTGGGGATGCTCTCGCCCCTTATCTAGTAGAGAATAAAGATAAGCGGAAGGTGATGGCCCACCTAAATAAAAGGTCTGATAAAAAATCCACGCCCTTTTTTCGAAGGCCGCCATTTCGTCAGTCGGCGACAGCACCTGCCGCCCAATCAACCAGGCCATTCAATCAGAGACCGGCTAGACCATATGATCGTCCATACGATAGATCTGGCTCTCGCCCCAGGCAGCAGTACCAGCCCAAGCGGCCATTTCGTGGGGCCGGCCGGGGCTACCGCAAGGCCAAATGACTCTGCACAGGCTCTTCCCATTGGAGGAAGACTAACACATTTCTTCCACCAATGGGAACAGACGTCCACGGACGACTGGTTTCTGAGTACCATCCAGCACGGGTTGTCCCTGGAATTTCTAACCACACCCCCGGACCATTTCACCGCCTGTTCGGTATCCAAGGACCCTTCCAAACGAAGACTAATGCAGGAGGCCATCCTTCACCTAACGGAGATTCACGCCATAGAACCGGTTCCATCGGAATACAGGGGCAAGGGGTTCTACTCCATCCTCTTTGTGGTTCCCAAAACCTCGGGAGGTTGGAGGGCTATCCTCGACCTAAAAAATTTGAACCATTATGTAATCTACAAGAAATTCAAAATGCAGTCCCTCCAGTCCATCCTGGGGGGCATCAGACAGGGCGACTTTCTGGCGTCGATAGACCTCACGGAAGCGTACCTGCACATCCCAATCCTATTGGCTCACCGTCGATTCCTACGCTTCTACTACATGGGCAAACACTACCAGTACAGGGCTCTCCCTTTTGGCCTCTCGTCGGCACCCAGGGTGTTCACGAAGGTACTGGCAGTGGTAGCGGCTCAACTAAGAAAAATTCCAGTAAGAGTCCAATGTTACCTGGACGACATCCTCATCCAGGCAATGTCGTTCCAGGCAGCCCAAGCAGACGTACACACCACCATTTGCACCCTTCAACAACATGGTTTCTCGATAAACCTCGAAAAAAGCCACACAGTTCCCTCGTCCAGGCTGCAGCACCTGGGAGCCATTATCGACACATCAGATTGCATGGTCTATCTCTCCCAGGAGCGCATGGTCAACATCATGGAACTGGCTCGACAGGTATCCCGACAGCACATGGTTCCTCTGGTAACACTTTCCCAGTTGTTAGGCAAGATGGTCTCCTGCATAGCCATCGTTCCCTGGGCCAAACTACATTTGCGGGACCTACAGTGGTTTCTCCTCCCCTTCCAACGTCGAAATGCCAGCGCTTCCTGTCGACTGGTCAGGGTTCCGTTACCCGTTCGCAGGGCTCTCCGCTGGTGGTGCTCTCGAGCAGTGTCCAAGGGGTCGCTATTCAAAGAACCGGAACGAGTCACCATCACGACGGATGCCAGTCTATACGGCTGGGGCGCTCACCTGAATTCTCAGTTAGCTCAGGGACGGTGGTCCACCGCGGATCTGCAGAAAAGCATCAACTGGTTGGAACTCAGAGCGATACATCTAGCTCTGCTACACTTCAAACGCTCGATCAAGGGCCGTCACGTTCTAGTCCGCACGGACAACGTAGCGGCCAAGGCGCATGTCAACCATCAGGGGGGCACACGGTCCAGATCCCTGATGATGGAGGCGAGAAGGATGTTCACCTGGGTGGAACCCAACTTGGGATCACTCAGAGCAGAACACATATCGGGGGTCAACAACCGACAAGCGGACTTTTTGAGTCGTGCCACGGTGGACCCTTCGGAGTGGGGGCTACACCCGAACCTGTTCTCATCCATCACCCACAGGTTCGGCCAACCAGTCCTCGATCTATTCGCCTCGCAGGACAATGCCCAGCTTCCCAGATTTTACTCCCGCTACTTCCACCCCAGGGCAGAAGGGATGGATGCTCTACGAGTTCCATGGCCACGGGGCCTTCTTTATGCATTTCCCCCACTGCCTCTTATTCCAGCAGCAATCCGCAAACTCATACACGAATGGGCGGAGGTGCTCTTTGTGGCTCCGTATTGGCCACAGAGGCCGTGGTTTGCCGACTTGGTGAATCTGGCTCAATCGCCCCCGTGGAAGATTCCTCATCACGTAGTGTCACTACATCAGGGAAGCATCAGCCATCCAGACCCGCAATGGCTGCAACTAGCCGTCTGGCGCTTGAGCGCCAAATAATGACATGTGAATCATTTTCCTCACGAGCGATTACCATTATCCAGGCGGCTCGCCGCCCGTCAACCAACCATGTCTACGACGCCACTTGGAAGAATTTTTGCCTCTGGTGTAGTCAGAAAAAATTTGACATTAATTCACTGACAATTCCCCAAATAGTTGATTATCTCCTGGATGGACTGGATAGAGGACTTGCACCTGCAACTATCCGAAGGCAGGTGGCGGCCTTATCCACTCTTATCTCTTGCGCTGATTCTATTTCATTAGCTCACCATCCAAGAATTCGAGCCTTTATCAAGGGAGCTTGTAACACCAGTTCTCCGGTGGTTCACAGGTATCCATCCTGGGAGTTGCCACGAGTTCTTCGCGCTCTCATGCAGTTTCCCTTTGAACCACTGGCGACCGTTTCTTTGAAACACTTGTCACTAAAGGTGGCCTTTTTGGTGGCCATCACTTCGGCCAGGCGTATATCTGAGCTGGCCGCAATGTCGGTCAGGCCGGATTTATGCATATTTCACAAGGACAGGGTGGTGTTACGACTCGATCCTTCTTTCATCCCGAAAGTTAATACTCTCTTTCACAGAACACAGGAGGTGATTCTTCCAAATTTTAGCCCGAATCCGTCACATGACTTGGAGCGGCAGTGGCACACATTGGACGTCCGCAGGGCATTATGGCGTTATATCAAGCGCACGGAGCCGTTCCGTAAATCCGAAGCTCTATGGGTGTCCTTCCGGCCTGGCACCCTAGGCCAGAAGGTCTCCGCCGGCACCGTTGGCAGGTGGATCCGGAGCTGCATAGGAGAGGCGTACCAGGTTTCGTCTCTGCCGACTCCAAGTCATATTACCGCACATTCTACTCGGAGTGCAGCAACAACGGCTGCATGGGCCACTCAGGCGTCCATTGAGGAGATTTGTGGGGCCGCTACATGGTCCTCGCCCTCTCCGTTCATACGCCATTACAAAATTGACAGGTTCGCTGCGGCGGACGCCTCCTTTGGTAGGAGGGTTCTCCAGCAAGTGATTTCCGATGAGACATCTTGAGCCTTTTCGTTTTTCCCACCCTATGGGACAGTGAGGCTTTGGTATGTCCCATNTTTCAGTGGTTATAGCTGGTGATGGAGTATTGAAGGTAAGAATATTTCAGTCTTTTTATAAAAATATTTGTTGTGCTGAATTGGGCATGTTGTTGTTTTTAAAAAAATCTCTATTCCCCCCCCCCCAGATTTGTGATTTTGGGGCTTCAAGGTTTCATTCCCATACAACACACATGTCTCTCGTTGGTACTTTTCCTTGGATGGCTCCAGAAGTAATACAGAGTCTCCCAGTATCAGAAACATGTGATACATATTCATACGGTGTGGTGAGTAAACCTATTTCTGTCCACGCTTCTGAATGCATTATATAAATCTGTCTTTAGACAACTGGATATAATTCATGTTCATGTTCCATACACATGTGAAGGCACAAAAACAAAGTTCTATTTCTGAGGCACTCATTGCGCCTTGTATATCTCCCACCCACCCACCCACAGTATTTTGGATTTCATCGTTCTCTAATTTTGTGGTAAAATTTTTGGCACAAAAAAAGCTACTGCCATATCCATGCCAACAAGCTTATAGTCAGCAAACTTCTGGAGAACATCTGATTATCTGTTACTTCCAAGATCCACAGTTCTGCCACAGAAATCATACTTTAGATTGTTTCTTTAAAAAAACCATTTTTACTCTTTCTCATGAAACTTATATTAATTAATTAAAAATCAATGTTTAAAGCAGCTAAGAATGACTTGAATCTTCCTGATTTCAAGGAGAACTAGTCATTGCTTATTTACAGTCAAACCTGTAAGCATCCATTCAGGAGAAAACTAAAGGAAGTTTAATGGGACCGATTGCCAGACAAGCATATCTAGCATTGCAGCTTGAATCCAGCTCAAGTTTTTTGGAAAAAAGTTAACTTCGTAAAAAGAAGCAATTCAGGAATCAGCTTCTGAATAAAAAATTGATCACTGGTTAAAGCAGGTATGTCCAACCTTTAGACTTGCCTGGACTGCATTGAGTGAAGAGGAATTGTCTTGGGCCACATGTAAAACATGTGGTTAATGTACCTATAAATAATTTATTTAAATAAATTATTTTACATATAAATAATGTTAAAAGTTTACTATCTTGAGGGTGGCATTACTAGTTGTCCACGACCACATATGCCGCAGGTTGGACACACCTGGGTTAAAGTAAAGCAGTTGAATAATAGTTATATTTTTCAGGCACATACAGGCAGTTTCAAACCCTGTAAAATCTTTTTTCCCCCTCAGCTTAGTGTTCTGCATCTTAAATAGTGAAAAGAGCTTGAAACATTTAGAGAGAGAATGAAATTCGGAAATAATTGCAGTTTGGCTCAGAGTTAAATGTTTATAGATAAATAATAATTAATTAAGTTGTTCCCTTGCTACTGTCAATGGGGCAGAAAAGAGTGAATTCCCAGGCTTTTGTGCGATCTCAAAATCTGTTCCTTCCATAGCACAATTTTTAGAAGGGGAGGGTAGATCCAGAGGGAATTTAGGAGGAGAAAGTCCTGTCAGACATGGTTTTACTTCTGTACATTTTAAATTCTACTCTAGAAATTGGTTCAAGTAAACTTAAGCGCATTAGTATTGATTCTCCTCACTGTTGATTTCTATCGAGATTTTTTTTTTTCCTGTAGGCTTTCAACTTCTAATCAAGCAGACTAACAATGTGCTCCAGAGATAATGAATCCATGAAAAATGTGGCAGTTTTTGATTTAAAACAATCTCATCCGTGAATAAAAGTTTTGAATGGTCAAGTAACACAATCTAGAGCACTAACAAATGGCTTTTGTGGTGCACAGACATCTGCTTTTCATCATTTGAAGCACAGCTGAAATTGTGACAACAAAGAGCAGAATCCTTTTCAAATGTAAACTACTACTATGTTGAGAAATACTATTCTATTGGCAGAATCTGTAGCATTCCTTTTATTTATTATTTTCTCTGCCAGAATGGAATGTATTCATTAAACTATTACACTGCGTACAATGTACAGTGAAGCATTTTTCCACTTTAGTATGCTGCCCACCTAAAGGTCCAGGTTTTCTTGGTCAAGCTGAATTTGTCTTTTGCAAATAAGTCACAAGAACATGAGGAAAGGTGATTGTTGTACCCATTTATAGTTTTCTGACCTTTAGAAATTATTTCATGAAGCTGGAATAGACGGTCTCAAGTTCGGTATCCCTTTATTTGGAAGTAAGCCACAATCTCCTGAAATAAATTGTGTTTTAAAAAGTAAACATGCTTTTAGTCAGAATCTTCTGTTATATGAAAATGACCCAAAGCTGAATTCAGATTTAAGATTTATAATCTATCCAGTTATAAATATCTGTTGCCTGCCAAATAATGTTTAATATCATCTAACTTACTGTTTTATTGTCCTAGACATAGAACTTTGTAGTAGGAGAAAGGTAACATGGTCTTTTACCTGATATGAGAGTTATACAATTCAAATATAACCCCAGTAAAATTTCCACCAGCACATATATCTGTGCGGTGACCAATAAATTTAAATAAATAAATATAATGTGTACAGTATATGTTTAATATAGCAGACTTCAAGTTTGGAAATAACAATCAACTGAAAATGTATCATGACACTGAGTAATAATGTACATATGTCACCTTTGGTACGATGAAAACATCTTAAACATCTTCCTTTAAACCAAAGTGTTAGGTTTGTTGTTTAGTTGTGCAAAGTGCCTATATTTCTTAATGAATTATAGTTAGCAGCTGTGATTGAGAGTGACAGTAAGGTTTGGGAAACTCCAGCTATGCTGACCAAAAATTTTGAGAAACATATTTTTGTGAACCATATAGTATCTGTCTGTCTGCCTGTCTGTCTATCATCTATCTATCTGTACACATGTATGTATTTATGTATACATGTGTGTGTGTGTGTGTGTGTGTGTGAGTAACTTACTCTACATATTTCTGGGCTCTTGTTGGCTTCAACCACTTTGTATATCATCACAGATTTTTTAAATGACTTTTTACTGTGCCAGAATTTGAAGCAGGTGCATACCTGTAGTTTTCTTTATTCGATTTGTCATAACTGACCTTTTAGAAAAGATGTAATCATCCTACCGCAATTGCATTCCCATATTATTATTTATGTAATTGTAAAACTGCTCCCTCCGTCCCATAACAACAAAATAGGCAGCTATGAGTTAGCAATATAAAATCAAGACAGGATATACATTTAAACCTAACAAATAAATAATAGCTACTTGGTCAATCTGGATATTTTTGTATGTGTGCGACAGAAGAAAAAGGATAAAGCTAGATGAAGAGGAAGGCCTGGCCAGATAATCACAACAGAGAAAAATGTTTCTGTTTCCTTTCACTGCCCATAATTCTTTAAAACAGGATACAGTAGTCTCTGTCTCCATTGTTATGTCCTCAGCACAATGGTTTTTCAGTAATAAACTTTTATAGTTTTATAACATAATCAGGTCTATTTAACCCCTAAGATGCTGTGGTAAATCCTGTGATTGAAAGCCTGGCTGAATATCAAGGATTAATAAGTTATTAATTACCTTTTTAAAAAGGTAGTTGGCCCAACTAAACCCAAATGTGAACCATAAATTAAGAATTTTAAATACTTAATGGAGAATATTGATCTCTGCAATTCTTAGCCAGGCCATTAACTTGTTAGAAAATATCAATAGGATATCAATCAATATCAATAGCAAATAGAAAATATCGATATTTACTTTAGCTAAATAATGTATTTTCCAACTCAGATCGACAGAAATATGTCTGCTTTGTGAAGTGAAGAGAAGGCAGTTTCTTTTGTAAATATAACTGCTTGCCTGGAAAAAAAAGATTATTGCTCTCTTTGACATAACCAGTTATATTATCTTTTTAGTATAATGGTGGAATATCATCCAAATAAAATCAGCTGAGGTCGTATTGTACTGTAAAGTAAATTTATATGTCTGTTATTTGGCTAAGTATGAAATATAATTAACTATAAAATATTTCTATAAAGTTGCTATTAATACCAAAATATGTGAAAAAGCTATTTCGTTGCTTACAAATCTCTTGTGCTATAGTATCTGTTTTTTAAATTTTAGACATAACTCTAGAAAGAACAATCCCAAATGGACAGAGAAAGTCTCTGGTTTAAAGTACAAGAAGGAATAGGTTCCAGAAACATTTTTCTAGTTTTTCTAGCTGAAAACAAGAAGTCTGTTTCTTGACTATCCCAACTATTGAACAGTGGAGGTACAACAGGATATTCACAAAATCTAGTCCCTGGCTCTCTCTCAGTAATTGGGAGAGAGGGTTCTTATTAAATAAGGGTTCTTATTAAAAATAAGAAATATTCAACATTGACTTGGTGTAACTGTCTTAAGCACAAACATATATCCAGTTTTTTGCCAATAGGCTTTGACTGCCTGGTAATTGGATACAGACCACAGTGTATCAAGGTTTAATAATATATTTAAAATACAAAGTACAGTAATAAAAAAATCCTTTTTCTTTTCTTTTTTCCATTCCAGGTTCTCTGGGAGATGCTAACAAGGGAAGTCCCCTTTAAAGGCTTGGAAGGATTACAAGTAGCTTGGCTTGTAGTGGAAAAAAATGAGGTAAGACTACTTTTCTACATTCAGGTACATAGATCAGAAAACAGTGTTGGGTTTTGCAAAAGACTTTTTCATCTTCCTCAAATTGAAAGTAAGTTCACGCGTATGGAAAGATTAGCAGTAGGAGCTAACACAAAGGGTCAAAGTGATGTTATTCCTCATGAATGGACCCTTTACATCTAATTGTTGCAGCTTCACGTCGTGATGCTGTAGATCAAAAATTATACAAGTACTGTACTAGTTTCTCAGTCTCAATTGTAAAACCTGGGGGTTTGTTCTTAGGGATGAAAGAAGCCATTGCGTCCAAGGTAGGAGAACAGTTTAACTCCATCTCCTGCATTTAGGACATCTTTATACTGGCCGGGAGTTGATCTATCTGTCAGAGACCTTCAGCTACTTCAACTTAACTCTCCCAGCAGGAGTCACTATAATACAAGAAACTGCCACTTAGATGAGGATTTCAAAAATAAAAGAAGATAAAAATAGTTTAAAAAGAAGAAAATTACAGTTTTGCCACCCACGTTCCTCAGTCCATTGAAGATGAGCTCCTCACTGGAACTGGTAAGGCTATGCCATAGTTGTAAGCCTCCTCATGCCGTGTCTTTCCACTTCAAAAGGACTTCAGTGGCGTAAACACCCTTTGTACGTGTCCCCAGTGTTGCTTTTCTTCTGGCTACAAATTGAGGCTTTCAGGTAGTTGAACATGTGAGTGCATATTTGAACACATGATCTCTTTAGTATCAAAGATAGGAAGTGTAGTTTTAAAGAAGAAATGTAGTGCGGGCGGCTTTATTGCATGCAGATAAGATTAGGGATTCCTCCTCTGTCTAAGTTGGCTGGAAGGTTGGGTAAAATTATGAAACAACTTAGGCAATTTCTGTAGTATGACTTCTTGTTTTCTTTGTTTTATTGCTGGCTCTGTAAGTTATTGTTAACGTCTTTACATATAATAAATTTAATTATCATGTTTAAAAAAACAGGAAGGAATTAATGTAAAACATGACATTCTCACTTTTAAACGTTCTTTCTGAACTATAGAAGGCCTGTGATATCTGTGAATCGATGTGGAATAACCAATTTAGTTGGGATGTTCTGCCACTCGCTATAAATTTATATCTGTGATTCTTACAAATTTAATCTTGAAATAATAAGATGTAGCAAGTATCATTCTTATTTTTTAAGCATGAGGAAAGTTTTATTTGATCTCATCAAAATAGCCTCATCCCATCCTATAGACAAACATTAAGCAAGAAACTTCTCCATCTAGATCAGGGGTAGGCAACCTCGGCTCTTTTATGAGTCATGGACTTCAACTCCCAGAATTCCTGAGTCAGCTGACTCAGGAATTCTGGGAGTTGAAGTCCATGACTCATAAAAGAGCCGAGGTTGCCTACCCCTGATCTAGATCAATGCTCTGATCTTATAGTTGGATACAAGATTTTGGTATGTAACAAATGTATCAACACTAGATCAGTTCTGCAACTTCATATTAGTTTCCTTAAACCGGATATAATCCAATCCAAATGAAGCACATTAGTAATCTCACCAATTCTAGACGTTTCTCTTTGCCTTTGAAATGAATGAAATGTAGAATTCTTTAACTTTATTGGATTGCATAACAATGAAATAGATTTTAAGGAGAATCAAAGCTTTACCCGTAGTGGGCTGGAAATATTCATCAATACTTTGAAAAAGTCAAAGACATTAAGAGGAATAGTAGTGGCTACAGTTGAAGTGCTCATAGGTTCAATAGAATAATGCAGTAAATATAGAAATAATACCCATAACAAAAAGTTATACTTTAAAAAAAACAACTTGATTTCAGGTTCTTCCTGATGCAAAAAAACCTGAAATACCTACAGTATATATTCTTTATGACATTAAAATAACCCCTAATAAAGTGGTCGAATATCTGAGGCACTAGCCTCCCAGTGAATTGTCACTCTGCAAAGTATTTGTTCAGTTCAAAATAAGTTAGTCATGCTTTAGTCCCATTGAAATCAATGGGACCTAAATTCACTATAATTAACTTGTCCCGCTGATTTTAATGGGCCTAAAACATGACTTATAACATGACATATTGACTCCACCACCTTATAATTACACTGTAAGGAAAAACAATGAATCTCATATTTGGTCCTTGGGAGAATTCTATTCTTTGGAAAGTTGGAGCAGATGAAACCCATAAGACACTTAAAGACAATGGAAGTCAACCCTTATTCCAAAAAAGTGCAGAAGAATATGAAAGATACATAGCACTGCTTACAGAGGCTTCTATTCTGTTGAAGACTTATTTAGAGTCCAGATGAAGTTCATAGTCAGAGATTTGAACAAAGAGTTCTGGTTCAGTATGTGTCCATTTAAATTATACTAGCTTTTAAATGAGTGGTCAGTGAGAGACTCTTTAAGTCTGCAGGTGCTACTCATATATAAGTCACATGGTATATATAGTACTCAGTAAGAGTGATACCTGAGTAGAGAATTACATCTCCTACCTATACCATGCCCATATCTTTTACTATTGTTTCCTTGATAATCTGCATGCTCTTTATTAGAGGTGTAAATTCTGTTAAAGGAGATTTTAATATCAAATGAAATTAATATATTATTAAGACATGTCACTTTTATTAGAATATAACTGCTTTGAGGGTCTACCCGATGAATAACCTTCTATTCCAGCGAGATATATGTAAGCAATCATTTTCTATCCCTGGAACTGTGAGGGTGAGAGACAAATGCCATGGCTAGATTGTCAGATGTATTTTTAGGGAAATGACCTACTTGACTATCAAGTGTCAATGCTACTTTGTTTATGCCAAAAGATTTCTTGAATTGACTTCTGATCTCAATATTTTTTGCATTTATAATACTCGTGATTTAAGGATTTCTAATCGGGTTACACAACTACTGTGTACATTTCTTCTTTCCTGTTTTCCATTTTCTTAACATATCTTCTTGGTTTTGTTTTTGTAAAATAACACCTGTTTGGAGCATAACAGCTATAAGATTTTGCAAGTCCTAGTATACTCATACAGTGACCTATTTTATTTAACTTACTCTATATGCCTCTTTGAAAACTGTCGTTTTAAACACTAAACAGAGTTGTGAGAAACTCAGATATAACTACTTTTTATAATTATATCCTTCTGTTAATCCACAGAATTTGCTGTAATTTTTTCTGTCTTGCTATGAGGATGAGGATATTAACAGTTATCTTTTTCTATCAGGAACAGCGATACCATTATTTTTCTTATTGTGGCATTTCTTTTACTATCAATAGCATAGTAACAAACTATATGCAGACATTCTAGTTATCAGAAAACTGTAATTAACACACTAATATATTCTTGTTAAGGTTTAGTTTTAAATAACAAGTTGCATCTCTCCTTACTATAATAGAAATTGAGTAAATAGATAAGTGCTATTAAACATTTTAGATTTAATTTTTTATTTTTAATAGAATGTCTAGCATCTTCAATATATTAAAAGTTTGTCTGAATATTTTTGAAGTATGAATGATAAAATATGTCACTTGTAAATACTTTTTTGCAGCAGGCTGGATAGGATTCTGTTAGGGAGTTGGGAGTTATTATCCCCAATAAACAGATTCTGTTATTTTGTTATTTACCATTCATTTTTGGTTACTACTTGCCTTTTTTTCATCACAGTCTTTCCTAACCTTATACGCTGTTGGCCAATATAAACTGGATTTTTATTACATTTACTCATCATTATAATGCTAGACTGCTTTATGGTTAACTTCACATGATAATTACTATACATATTTAAATTTGAATGATTATTTTAAGAACGATGTAGATCACAAGGCCTCTTAACATTATTTAACACTTATTTTAAATAACTAATAGGTCTATGCATTCTTTGAAAATGATTCAGAGAAGCTCTTTATAACTTATGTGAACACGGCATCTTACTAGTCGTCATTAAAGCAGGCTGCTGTTTTCAGTCTTCTGTGGAAACCAGAAAAAAGATGCTGCTACTTTAAGAAGCTGACTCATTGTACTCTCAAAGCATCTGCATCTTTTTTCAGGCTTGCGTGGAGGCATGAAAAACTGTAGGCTGCTTTTTTTTTGAATACAAGAAACACACTCTGGCTTTGTATTGTATAGTCCAAAGCACATCATCTCATTCATTTTCAAAGCAGTGTAGAAAATAACCAATGAAGAAGTGTATATAAGTATTTAATGTGTCCAACAAAACAAAGATGGATTTAATGTGAATGAATATTTCAGGAGGGATTCAGAATATTTCAGGAGGGATTCAGAAATTTAGATTCTTTAAAACCTTGGGAAAAAATACCTATACATACTTCATGCTATATTGGGTATGAAAGCAAGAGAAATGTAATGTAATTTTAAAAGATTTGTAGATATTACTGGGATATAATTCTAAAAACTTTTCCCTCCAAAAAAGTTATACAGTATTATTTTTCCCACAATGGTAATAGTTTTAGGAAAGTTTTTTCCCCATAATGTAGCCGTAGGACCAAGTTTTTTGGAATGCATCCATGTTTTCAACATTTCAAAACCGAAATTGCTGTTGTTTATTTATTCATTCAATTTATACCCCCCTTCCCCATAACTAGAAAAAATACTTTGCATCAACGGTGCGGTTAAACTTGGCTAGGTACATATGTCATTTCATACAAAACCCAAAGTGTACCATTCAGCATGTGTAGCATTTGTCTCAGCAGCAGTGATCTTTTGCATCTGGTTACTGAAGCACCATTATTGCTTCTCAACTTCTTGGGAGAATAATAGTTTAGTTTACTGTCACCATCTCCTTCCAGGCATAGGCATTTTGGTATGATGTCCTCTGCTCTGTTCTGTTTTTATGGCAAGCTCTGATCTATTTTTTAGCTCTATTGCACACCGAAGATCTTCATATTTTAGATCTAAAATTTGAAAGGCTATGGGATGATGGTAGGTTCTTCGTTTATATTCACTACTTTCTTCCTTCTATTTCAGAGACTGACCATTCCAAGCAGCTGCCCTGGAAGCTTTGCAGAATTGATGCTCCAATGTTGGGAAGCAGACCCAAAGGTATTTCTTTAGACTGATATACCATTGTATTAAGTTTATTATTATTATTATTATTACTTTAATTTATACCCCGCCCTTCTCCCGAGGGACTCAGGGCGGCTTACAGGTAAATAAAAACATTGTTTATTTTTTTTAAAGGCACTGTCAGGAAATAGGTTGATGCTGAACATTGGAGAGTTAGAGACCCTTAGCTTGTATATGATTTAAACATGCTGATTGTTGGCTTTTTCGATACAGAATTATTTAAGAAAGGAAGCAGGTCAAAGAATGTAATAATCCTGCCTTCTACTAATGAACGGAACTTCCTAAATACAATTTATATTTTGTTACAAAATAATTTTGATTGTATTTATTTATTTATCACCTTGGCTTAAGGACTGCTCCATTTCTAAATATTTTGTACAGTACAGTGAATTAACAGCTAACCAACATTAATGAAAATTAATGTTCATTACTCTTGATAATCCCCAGTTGCCTATTTTTTTGTTTTACCATGTATATGAAGTACTCACAAGGAAGTGGTTGGATTCTAATTCTGCCAAAGGTCTGTAGTCGTGTGTTGTTAGAGGGCAACAGACTGCAAAAAGCTGTGGGCTGAAAAATCCAGTTATGACATTCATTCTTCATTCTTCTGCACAATATTGCACAAGAATTGTGTATATCGTGAGCACAGTAATCCTCTTCAGTCCTTGAAGTGAAGAATGTGACATCATAGAATCATATGATATAAACATCAGAAAGAATCTTGGTGATCACTATATATAATAAAAGTGCAGATAAAAGAAATGATATCAAATTGGGTCCTTTTGCAATCTCAGAAATCAGTGGGCAATAGTTTGTGTTTCCTCCTGGATTAGTGTATGTACAAGTGAACTCAGCATCCTTGGCAGAATCAGTGATAGGCCATGGAAAACTGAGAGTTGGATTTTTGCATTCCACAATTTTTTTGCATTTTTTTTAAAAAAACTTTACATTATTCAGTAGTTACTAATACATTATTAGTATTTGGCAAGTTTGAATTTAGGATAATCCAGAGTGTAATTAACACCAATGAAATATATTCTATTGTGGTATTTCTTGCATCTGTTACTGTGATGGTTTAGTTCAGAAGTGTTAACTTTGAGTGGTGTCAAATGTTACTAGGCAAAGACATTTTTGTGGAGGAAAATTTGAGAGCTATTTAGCTGCTATAAAACAGGGTTTTTCAACCAGTGGTACGGGTACCACCTGTGGTATATTGGCACCTGGCAGGTGGTACGTGACCATCCTAGAAAAGTAGTGGCGGGGGAGGGGAATGAGAGCGCCGCCAGGCAGGCAGGTGTCTTGCTCGGCTGTGCCTTGGGGGAGCACTTTTTTCAGTGCCATTGTAACGTTGAACAGTCACTAAGCAAACTGTTGTAAGTCGAGGACTACCTGTACTTTATCACTTTTTTCCTTTTTTTCTTTTTGGTCATCAAGTTTTTGACACCTTGCTAGGTGACTGGTGGTACTTGGATATTGCCATATCCTAAAAGTGGTACAGTGGGTGAAAAGGTTGAAAAGCCCTGCTATAAAAGAATAATAACAATTTATTAAATTTATATAACCCCCCACCCCCAACCTGGCCCAAAGTCTGAAAATTTGGTCCCTGCCAAATGCTGCTAGTTGTCCTGAACTCTTAGACTCCTGCTACATCCAGTCCTTACCCATGTCCGATTGGAAGGAATATATGATGCATAATGAAGAAACACACTCATCGGTGCGTATCTGCATGTAGATTATGCTTCTACTGTTCCTAAAAGCATTAAACACTAAAGTAGTCTTCCCCAATCTGTGTTCTCCCGTGCAACTTGACTGGCAAAAACCAGGTTGCTACATTTAGGTCCTACTGCAAAGATTTGGGTAAAATATTGTGTGTGAACCTGTCATGTGGGGTGAAATGAACAGAACAGCCACTGTTTAGTTTTAAAAGCACCTAGGTTATAATCCATGCAGATTGACCAAAAATGACAAGACAGAACAGAAAAACAGAAAAAGAAATACCTTCACTTAAACATTAAATAGGCAGTTCTTACAGAGAAGAACACTTGTCTCTTTTTGTTACACACACACACATACACACACACGTATATATATATGAATAATGTTGTTTGACATTTGAAATAAAGAAATTGTCTCTCTTTTATAATGTGAAAATCACTTGGATCTGCCTGGGAGAGACACCTCAGCATTGTTCCTAATTGTTTTTGTGCACCCAAATTAAAATGCACGTTTTAATTGCCGCATCTGTAATTTTAGCAGAAATGGTATAATTACAGGCATGATGCAGAGAGAGTGTGCATCATCCCTTTATTATGTCTCCACATTTTGGTTTCCACCTTTTGTCTTAACCTTGTCTGGGGTCTGTCAAACAGACTACTGGAGGCAATGCACTCTTGAGAAGCATTTTACTAAGACTTTTTCAGTTTTCAACAATTATCCCACTTTTTGCACTATAACAAAAGAAGCTTTAAATTCAGAAGAGAATGCGGGGAAATTTATGACTGCTTTGTCTGAGTCCATTCAGATTGGCTTGGGCTGTGCATAGCCCCATCTTCCTCTCTGCTTTGTCACTGGACTTCAGGATGACTTGACTTCCCAGGTTACAAAATGCTAAAATTGGTACACTCTTTCCTACTGAAAAAGTATAGAAAATTAAATATATTAGCGCTGTTATTTAATTCTTATGATTACACCAGGTTCTCCCAGATTTTTAGAGAATTTGATGTAAAGGTACATTTTACTATCAAAGTATAATTGGAAATTTCGCACA